ACCCCTTTGGCGGTCGAACGACCCTTTCACAGGGGTCGCCTAAGACCATCCTGCATATCAGATATTTACATGACGATTCATAACAGTAGCAACATTACAGTTATGAAGTAGCAACGAAAATAATTTTATGTCAGGGGATTGTCAAGGGCAGGGGAAAAAAGGACACATATGTAATACCCTTTGTAATACTTTAAGCAATAAAAAATTTAAAAAAAAAAGAAAATAATTTTATGGTTGGGTCACAACATGAGGAACTGTATTTAAAAGGCCAGAAGGTTGAGAACCACTGTTCTAGGGGCTTTCTGCTCAAGTCTTTAATCCCTTATGTTAACTCTTGTGTGTGGTGTAAGATAGGGGTCCAGTTTCATTCTTTTGCGTGTGGCTGCCCAGTTTTCCCAACATCGTTTATTGAAGAGAGTGTCCTTCCCCCATTGCATAATTTTGGCTCCATTGTCGTAAATTAATTGACCGTGTAGAAACCCATGGGTTTCTTTCTGGGTTCCCTACTCTGTTCCAGCGATATGTTTTCCTGTCAATGCCATGCTGTTTTGATGACTGTAGCTCTGTAATATAGTTTGAAATCAGGGGGTGAAACGCCTCCAGCCTTCTTCTTCTTTCTTAAGCTTGCTTTGGCTATTTGGGGTCGTTCGTGGTTTCATACACATTTTGGGGTGGTTTGTTCTGATTTGTAGATGTTGACTCATCCTTGCATCTATGGAATAAATCCCACATGACCGTGACGTAGTATCCTTTTAATGTATTGTTGAATTCGCTGATACTTGGCTGAGGATTTTGGCATCTATAGTCACCAGGGATATTGGACTTTATGTTGTGTGTGTGTGTGTGGCATCCTTGTCTGGTTTTGATACCAGGGTAAGGTCTTGGTATTTTTTTTATAATAGTTTGAGAAGGATTGGTATTAATTTTTCTTTGAATGTTTGGTAGAATTCAGCAGTGAAGCCATCTGGTCCTGGATTCTTGTTTTTTGGGAGGTTTTTAATTACTGATTCAACCTCATTGCTAGTAATTAGTCCGTCCGGCTTTCCTGTTTCATCAGGATTCATTACACTTAACAGTTGCTGCCAGATTAGTTCCCACAAGACGACAGCCGCTCCCGTGGCCTCCCCCACGTCCACCAGCACAGGCACCGACAGCCCTGAAGGTTTTCCCAGACCAACAGCCAAGCAGTCACACCTCAGTCCTCCTGCTCTTCTCAGTCCCGAGCGGGGCTGAGACGCTCTGTGCAGTACTGGCGACTGCTTTCCTCTAGGGCAGCGGTTCTCAACCTTCTGGCCCTTAAATACAGCTCCTCATGTTGTGACCCAACCATACAATTATTTTTGTTGCTACTTCATCGCTGTCATGTTGCTCCTGTTATGAATCGTCATGTAAATATCTGAGATGCAGGATGGTCTTAGGCGACCCCTGTGAAAGGGTCGTTCGACCGCCAAAGGGGTCTCGACCCACAGGTTGAGAACCGCTGCTCTAGGAGTTGTCTCTTCAGACCTCTGTTCGTTTTTTCCTGTTGGCTTCTGTCTTTTACCAAAACATAGAAACGTTCTCCCTGTTAAGGACCTGACCCTCTCTCACGTGCTGTGAACACTTCTTCCCCAACCACCTCGGCCGCGTTTGTGTCTCAGCGGGGGCCGTGGGCAGCCGCCCTGTCACGGGAGGTGGCTCTGGCCCCTGTGCTGGCGCCTCAGGCTGCCTCTGCATCAGCCATCACTTCGCTGGTTTTGTGCTTTTCCCCGAATGCTTCCCCGTGTTTGTACTGTCTGTTCTTGGGCACCTTCCGGGTTTGCCACCTTTCCCTCCACGAGGCCGCTCCTGGGTGGTTATGGGTGTGGGGAGTGGGACCTGGTGAACCAGGTGGTCACCCTGGAGCCTCCTGAGGGCGGGGCAGGCCCTGCAGCCCTGACCCGCCCCGGCCGACCCTCAGGACTGGGGGGGACACACTTGCGGAAGTGACCCCCATCCTAGACTGCAGGGTCCCCAGCAGAGGCCGGGCGAGGGGCAAGGGCACATCGCAGAGCCTCCGGCTGCCCTCGAGCACCGGTGCACGGGCAGGTGGGCCGCTGTCTGCTCAGGCCGCAGGGTTTTACCTACAAACAGAAGTGCCGTAGCGTCGCCCAGATGCCAGGCCTGAGGGGCAGGAGCGTCTCTCAGGCCCCAGGAACTGAGAGGGTGCAGAGGCCTCCCGAGTCACATGACCTTGTGGTGCGTGACACAGTAAGTGCGAGCATGTAGACAAGCATGTGGGGTTCAATCTAAACCCCTAAAAGTTTACCCATTCAAGTTGGCGCCAAAACTTCTACGCCCCCGCCCAGCAGGGGTGACGTGATGCAGGGCTGTCCCCGAGCAGGTCCGCCACCCTCCGGTCCCCGCTGTCCCTCCGGCTGCACCACGCCGTCCACTGTGGGTAACGGGCTGGCACCAGCTGTTTGTCCCCGGGCCACTGGACCAGGAGCCACGGGGTAGGCAGGCCTGGCCGTGCCCAGTGACAGCTTGGCTACTAGGGGGCAGGCGGCAGTGGGCATATCAGGAAATGAGGCTAAGGGAGGCCAGCCGGTCCTGTGGTCACTCCCTGGCCTCACTGCCCGGGTGGGGACAGAAGTGGCGAGGGGCAGGGCACCTCACTCCCCGTCCTGCCTTCTCAGGACCCCAGGCTTCGCGGCTCAGGGCCGGCCCTCCACCCCCTGCAGCGGG